TTTTTGACACTGAATAAACAAATGATGGCTAGCAGCTTAGTCAGGCTACCCAGCTCCACTATGCAAGAACAATTTTCCATTAAAAGCACTTAGATTTTTTTCTGAAATGCAAAAAATACACAGGTGAAGTATATAAAAGTAATGAAATAAATTCCTTATCAGCTTTCCTCCCCCTTATTTCTTTTGTATTTCCTCTCCACTTCAGTGAATTCCTTTTCTGACTGCTAGCACCATATGCCAACGGGCCTATGACTGTGATTCTGTTGCTCCTTATGCACATGGTATCCTGCTCAAACTGACACAATAGGCCACTCAGAAGTCTCGCTTCTGCAATGAAATGCACTGGGTTTCTAATGGCAGCCTGCATTATCATTAACCAGCTGGCACTTTCTATTTACAGGCTGTGAAGGTATCTGACCAGGACCTTCCTTGCCCATATCCACACACCTTTTGGAAATACAATCTTCAGGCATATCTAGACTGAACTGCCATATGTTTCTCATCCCATCAGGAGCTCTAAGGCATTTGTCGTAACGCTGGAAACTAAAGACAACGGAGAAATCTTGTGTCTTCCTGTGGAGCTGTCTTTTCTCAAGCCATAGATAGGATCAAGAGAACTACAGAACTGTGGTTTTTTCTATTAATCTTGAAAACGCGTTATTTTAAGAAATGCTTACTGGTACTTTGGGTGTTTGACGTAGCCATCTATAAACCAAATAGGTCAATGACTTGGGCTTCAGTTGAGTTCCACCTCATAGTTAAAGCTACAGGAACAGCGACAGTATGCACACAGACAATTTCTTACCACTGTAAAAGCGAATCATACAGCTGAGATCAGAGTTTGCTGCCTCTTCCTGCATTCTGACTGGATCATCAAAACCCAACCCAGCCAAGTAATCATACACAATCTGAAGGGGTTTTTCTGTGGGCTCCAGCCTCCTGTCAAAACATAAAAGAAAGTAGTTTGAGAACGCAAGAAAGATTAAACAAGTCTCATTGCAGCTAAAGTGTAAGGAATACTGACATACTGGTTGTTCTGCTCCTCTGAAAAGGTCTGGCAAGCACGCATCCTTGGGGTTTGTGCTTCCTGCTTCTCAAGTAGCGCTTAAGAACTGTAGCACGTGAAGAATTACATTGCAGAAGGGAAACGGAGAGGAAAAGCAATAGGCATAAGCCATTCAATCCATGGTGATAATTTCCATTCCATGATTTAAGGAGCACCAGGAGGAAACAATGACAACAAACAAAACCAGAAATACTACACAAAAAGCAGACACCAAATAATTAAAAAAACCCTACATATAATGACTGAAAGATATAAAAGAACTCTACTTAAATTTCTCTTCCAAATGCAGCTGGGAGCAAAGCATATGAGCATCCTCCTGAAGAATGACTTCTAAAAAGAAAGAAAAAAGAAATTTCCCATTCTCTTTAGCTCTCATCAGTGCAAGATTCTCATGCTTTGGCAAATTAACTCAAACGATACATTTAAAGAAAAAATGTTTTTAGAACTACAACAGATCATAGGAAGGATTCAGTGGCTAACTTGACTAAATGGCAATAAGAGAAAGTTCTCCTGAAATATCAGGTTTAGTATATTCAGAACAGAAAAGATGTTTTCTGATCCTCTTGTCACACTTCTTCCAGAGACGCTGAATTGTTATTTTCTGCAATAAAAATAACAGTTTCTCGCTAAATTAGAAGTTTTACTTTAGGGAAAAAAATCTTCGTGTAAAAGACTAAGCACTGAAAATGTAAGATAGGAGTTAAAATAAATTGCTCCAGTGGTTCACTGATTATCCACCATTAAAAATCCTCATTTTTAACCTAAAAGCGCCTAGCTTCAGATTACGGTCATTGGACCTCAACTTGTCACCTATTCTTTAAACAGGTGTTTATAAATCATAAGGCTAACCATTTCAAACTTCCAAGATGAGGCTCAATGTGCTTTTAAAATTTTCTTGCAGTCTACTTTGACTCAAAATAATTTTTACCACTCATTTTTTTTTTAGCTTACCAACATTCTGTAAGCACTAGCACCATGACTGTTCGCTGTATGCATGCACTGACTACGCAAAACCATACAGACACTTCTTGGTTCTACTTAACAGTATTTACATTCCTAGATCAAACCTGCTCTCGACTATTTGGCACATTCACTCATATCCCTTCAATCCACAAGTCCTCCTGAATTGTACTTTTTGCAAGTTATAGCCTCCTTCCTCTCCTCTCCTCTTTAGTATTTAGTACAAGGGGCTTTTACATAAATACATCCAGCGATACTGAAAAGCAGTGTTTTCCAGAGAATACTGTATGCCAAACCATCTAGATCAACCTGTTGCACTGACTTCTCAGTACTCATCACTCCTTCCTGAGTTGTTACCTTTTATCGCAGATTATTAACAGAGCAAGTGAACAGTGCAAGTTTACCTTTCTTCATTCAGACATACACTAACCCCTCATCCAAAAAAAATGCTTACACTGAATAACAGTTTCCAATTTGCAGCCAACGAGTTTTATTGGTTTGTGCACTGCTTTTCTACCAATGACATCAGAACATAGAATCACAGAGTGGTTTGGGTTGGAAGGGACCTTTAAAGGTCATCTAGTCCAACTCTCCTGCAATGAGCAGGGACATCTTCAACTAGACCAGGTTGCTCAGAGCACCATCCAACATCACACACTGCAACAAATGACTAATGCCTTTGGCGACCAAGCTTGAAATTTCAAAGCATCAAGATCAAGTTTGTTCGGTAAGACCTGTTTTCTACTAAACTTTGTTGACTTGCATACATCATTTATACTGCATGTCTTAACGTTAAATATTTTATTACTGTACGTACCAAACTTTTCCGCTTCTTCTCAACTGAAGAACAAAAATATTCTTTTTAATGATTATACTATAGTATTTCCACTATTACTGACAGCTTTACAAATGCCATCTCATAATTAAGGCAGGACTGATTTCATAAAACATGCACCATTTACAAGTATCTAGTCATCCAGACTTCCTTTGCAGTCAACAGCACACACCTTAAGAAGTAAAATGACCTCAGGTATTTCAAGCACATACATTGCAACTCTTTCACTTCACACATAGGACCTCTGGATCAGAAACACAATTACTCTCAAAGTTATGGTCCAAAACAATAAACTTTCTAGCCTGAAAAGACAATGTAGTTGATATACAGCTGACCCAGAAAACCAGTTCTTACCGCTCCATGTTTGCTAAGCCCGATTAGGGCAATTTTGCTCTCCCCCGCTTTTGTTTTACATGGAAATACATCAACTTGCTAGCCAGAAGGCTGTATATGAAATAACCCCCTTCCTCTCAGTTCAGAAATTGTCTCTTGGAGCTTCTACTGACTAATAAACTGACGTCAGGTCTTGCAGACTCTAGTCAGTCCTAAATATAATCAGAAAGTTATTGGCAAATTTCAACCCATAAATAGGCTGTATTTAACAGATAAAGGAAGAAAACCTTGATATGTATCTTCAAATCCACCCAAAGGATTGCTCCCTGACAGAGCTGGTTTACTTGGAAATCTATTCTTATTCCTTCCTTGATTGGACTAGTAGGATTTAAATTTTAGTTTATGAAGTATCAGCTGCCTTAACCAGTAGAAAACATTGTTTATTCATACCAATGTCTGTCAGCCGTCATAATTTTTAGTTGATTTTCAGGAGTTATCCTACTTTCGTGAAGCTTCCAATGTGACTAAAAGCAATGTCAGAGATAGCAATTTGATATGTACTGTAAGTATACTCCAAAACTCATACACGAGAATAATATTCATGCATCAATTTAAAGTTCAAGATGTAATCAGGTGACTGTCAGCAATACATGCAATTGCTGCTGCTACTGATGGTCTGTTGTGGTTTTTTGCGGTGGTGCTTTTTTTAAATAGAAAAAACATTTGGAAAACTGTCTTGTCTTTCTGCCCTTTCTTTAAACCAGTAAAGAAAAGGAAATAAAGAGCTAGCCAGTGTAGCTTAATGCAAATTCAGATAAATTTCAGCAGTAAGCACAATCTGTCCCCTTCCTGCCCTCCCCAGGCCTAACTATTCTCTTCTGGTATCCAAATCAGATGCTATGACACACAGGTACGACAAAGACACAGTTTCTGCCATGTTCCCAATGATTTGTAATGCCTTTTTTGAAGAAAAAAAATTTGTGAAAGCCAAATTCACCTAAACTTTCCAAAACAAATTGAACAAATGCTCAGAATCCACAGGAGTTTAAGGTACGTAATGCCAAATCACTGAGCTCAGATGATTACTGCTGTTCAACTTGCCAACAACTCAGTACAGATATCTCTATCCTGTTACACTGATTAGAAAGTGAGTTTAATCTCCATGGCAAGTACGGCATTAAATCATACAAAACAGTAATGGAAATATTTAAGACTTTAAATACACGCTTTTTCCAAAGTCAGTCCATCCATTAGTACTAGTAAAATGGAAGTCAGACTTCTGAATATTTTTTTTTTTTTTTAATCTTTTTTATCACCGACTCAAAGTGGTTGGAACAAGCCTCTGGAGTGATCATCTAGCCTAACTCCCCGCTCAAGTAGGGCCACCTACAGCTGGTTGTCCAGGACCTCGTCCAGTTGGGTTTTCAATATCTCGAAGGAGACTCTACAACCTGCCTGGGCAACCTCTGCCAGTGCTCCATCACCCTCACAGTGAAAAAGTGTTTCCTGATGTTCAGAGGGAACCTCCTCTGGTCCCCTCTGGTCCTGTCACTGGGCACCTCTGAAAAAAGTCTGGCCCCATCACCTTCATCTTTTTCCATCAGGTATAAATACACATTGATAAGATTCTCCTGAGCCTTCTCCAGGCTGAACAGTCCCAGCTCTCTCAGATGAAAGATGCTCCAGTCCCTTAATCATCTTAGTGGTTCTTTGCCAGACTCATTCCAGTGAGTCCTTGCCTCTCTTGTACTCCCAGAACTGGACACAGCACTCCAGGTGTAGGCCTCACCAGTGCCAGTAGAGGGGAAGGATCACCTCCCTGGACCTGCTGGCAACACTCCTCCTAATGCAGCCCAGGTTGCTGCTGGCCTTTACTGCAAGTTGCTGTTGGCCTTCTTTACCACAAGGGCACATTGCTGGCTCATGGTCAGCTTGTTGCTCACCAGGGTGACCAGGTCCTTCTCCACAAAGCTGCTTTCCAGCCCCCAGCGTGTACTAATGCCTGCAGTTGTTCCTCCCCAAGTCCCAAGACTTGGTTTTTCACTTTGTTGAACTTCATGAGGTTCCTCTCTGCCTGTCCAGGTTTAGTTGTTTAGCTCTAATTGCATCAAATTTTAATCTCAAGACCACATGGAAGTTACCTGGTACCATTTCATGTGTCTTAGAAACAGAATCATCCAAGTTTGACTCAGTATCACAAAAAGCGTAACTTGCCTCTGTAATTGGCATGACTTCACTCTTGATGATGCCATCCACTTTATATCTTCAATGAGATGAGAAGTCTTCTGAAATAATTTGGAAAACCTATAAGCAAGGACCAGATCCCATGCTTTCCAAAATAAAATGGGAAATAGTTTCCAAAACAAAAAAACAAACCAACCCCCCCAAAAAGGAAAACAGCAGCTGAGAGCGGAAATTCAAACAGTGCTATCACCTGCACCGTCACCAGTCACTCTGACTCTCTGCTCATCTTCTTGGAACTCCTGGAAAAAGATCCTAGTCCAGCTAAGATAGAGCTCTTTGCACAATCAGCATGAAAACCTGATTTATGAACTGCTTTTTCTTTCCCTGCTTTGTGAGATGGACACGGGACAAGAGATTGGTTCAAAAGAGTGTAATGCCATCAATGCTTCTCTCTTTGCAGAGATTTCTTCAGTTCAAACGCAGGCTCTCAGTCTTTTTGAGGACCTTCTGTTGAGATCTAGAAGCTTAGAGCCAAGCACTTCTAGAAATATGTAACTAAGG